CGAGGGGGAAAACACGGTCACCCGGACACGCTGAGTTGCTATTGCGACTGGTACGCATAGCCAACCTCAGTGCAACGAGAAGACATCTTCGCCTCGACCGTCGCCACGTTGTCTCATTGCGGTGACGAAGCTCCGATGGAGGAACAGATTGAAGCAGCCTGGTGGTGGCAAGTCGGTGGTCGCTATTTGGAGTCGTGAGCGGTCAGTAAAGGTCTGTTTCCAGACTGGTGATGTTTTTGGAGGTGCAAGACGGACCCGCAAGGTGTTCTAGCTTTGCTGTGCTAGTATTAGGCAGTCGCGCGGTGCCGAGAGGAGCACAAGGAAGGGTGTCAGAGGCTCTGTGAGCTAAGCAATTCACTGCCTCAACTCGCTCTACATCCTCGGGGCATGCGTCACCATCGGCCAGCGCCGCACAACTTCGTTGCCCACAAGATGAAGTTGCCCACGAACTGCAGGAACGGAAAGGGCCACCAGCGCAATGCTTCCTGACACGCTGCGGTGCGCATCCCGACGAAGCTTCTTCCCCTCGGCCCCTTTTGCCTAGGCGACATCATCTGAGAGGCACTGAAGCTGTTTCGCTGGTGCAGGCTCTGGCAGAGGTATGACCGATTGCCAACAGTGAATACAGGACTGGCAGGTCAAGAGTCATCTCCGCAATCGTCGCTGACTCATCGATGTGCGGTCACGTACTTCTCATGGCTAATTCGTAAACGTGTCAGTGGCCATAGCACCACCATCTACTTGGCACAGCGCTTTTGTCTGGCACGGGGCTTGAGACCAACACTGGGGCTTATGTGTGTCCATCTTAATGCATCCCCTCACTGGATCAATGAATCAAGCTCAAGTGTTGAAGAGAAGTCACACTTGTGTTGCAAAGCGCGCGAAGCTACACCAGAGGCGTATCTAGTCGCCGGCACCTCGCCGACTTACCATCCAAGAGCGATCAGAGCATTGTCAGATGCTCATGCTTAACAAGTGACGCGCAGCGCTGTGCGCATGGTCTTCGTGCACCGGGAGCTCAGCCTCTCGTGCCCCTTTGTCCTGACGGTAGAGGTGTGATGCAGTCTGCCTCTAGCACAGCTCCGTCAGCATCCGACACACACGCACGCACTTGTCAGTGTGACGGCTGACTCGAAGAATCCGTTGCGGTATAATAGGGTCCTTCATGAATGTGAATAGGAGGGCCCGCGCTGTCTAGTTCCAACATCTGCGTGGCCTTCTTCTCCCCGGGACTAATGCGACAATGTGCCCGCGGAGCCGAGACGGATGGGAATGTGCCTGGTTCCCTCCTCCTATCAAGCAAACCCCCGCGAAGAGCAAAATCGTGCGCCCGCTGGGGGATGCATGGTGATCACGCTCACGTTGGACAGGGTGGTGCGCATTTCGAAAGCGTTACGTCGCGAGAAGTGATGGATGGATGGGTCTCAAGACTGACTCTCAAGATTGCACACCCAAGGATGCTGAGCATGAATGCACCAACAGTCGTGTGCAGCTACAAGCAAGTGATTGCCTCGTCCGTTCACCTCATACAGACGCACGCCACACACATTAGCTCTGGAACGGTAGTGTCGTGGGTGCATAACGGCGAAGCAGTGCCACAAGTCAGTGCAGAGACCCCATTCTTTGTGTTTCACTGACGCTGAAGTAGGATGTTGCAGAAGGAGGAGTGTGCAGACTCTTCAGCAATGCACTCAGGTCTCCTGGCGAAGTCATCGTGCAGATGGTGTGCACGGAAGACAGACGTTGCCACCTGTGAGGCACAAATAGCTGGGCGACGCGCCGTCTGGCCAGGGCAGAAACGACAGGTTGGCGATCTTGGCAGATCGACGAACGCAGCACGCTGGAAATTTTAACCTAGACACTGTGGCGTTTGCACGAACGCGGTCGATGTGCGAGCTGATGGAAGTAAGGCAAAGATGCGTCCGGCACAGGACGTGAGGCCTTCTATGCACGATCCCTTTTGGCAAAGGTCGTCCAGCTCGCAAGGTGCAGCTACTCGTCAGAAAGGCCCCACGAGTGCAGCTCGCTTTTCGCCCTGGTCTGACCACACACACACACACTTGGGGCGCAACTCATTCACCTGGTCAGTGAAGCTGGGGCTACCCAGCAGGTCGTTCTGCACCCTGAGATTGGCAGGACAGGAGACTGGCTAGGGTGCTCTTGATTCTGGAC